CGGCCCCGCCCCCCCTGCGGAGGGGGGCTCCCGGGCCCGGCGCAGCTCTTCCCAGGGGCTCACTCCTGCTGAGGTCCGCGGCGGGGCACGCAAGCCGTGAGCCCCTCCTCTCGTCCCTCCAATCTGTAACTTTTAGTGGGCGTCTAGTTCACCCTGTTGAAAGGCTCCACTTTTTTTCTTTCAGTTAATTGACAGAGAACCCCCCAGCTTCTGAGCGAGTTGACGTTTATTATCCACGCTGTTTAAAATTGAGCTTCGTTTCTAAATTAGATTATGCAGCTTCAGTTTCTAGCATCTGGGACGTGTTTTGTCTTTTTCGACTAACTTAAGGAGATGTTTATTCTACCAAAGATTCAAAACGTCCCAGGTAGAGAGCGGCGGGCTGATCGACCAGATCGCCTGCTTCCCTTCTCTTCACTGGGTGGGACAGTTCGTGCTGCTGAGTTTTCTGACTGCTGAGATGGTGGTGGCCAACTTTTGCCAGCTCAGATTTTAGGAAATAAAATGTTTTAAGACCTATTTTCATATTGCATTGATTTGTCCTGTAAACCCCTTTATTCAACCGTATTGCTGCTGCTGCTGTACATGTAATGCTAATACTCAAACAGGAAAAAAACTGCATATTTAGCATAGTTGTAGGGGGTTTTTGTCTTTACTAATTAATGAATCATTTGTTTTAGAATCCAATTACAACATCATTAGCATGAATAACAAAGCTCCTGAACATCGCTAAAACTTACACCGAGTTCAAGTCCTGCCTGCATATAAAGTGTTGTGTTTTCCTGTTCTTTCCCTGAACTTTAGCTCGTACTCTTGTGGCTGTACACACAGCAGTTCACTAAACGAGCATCAGTTACAGAAGACTATGCTTGTATATCACATATTTCAGGTTCGAAAGAGCAGGCTGAGCCAGACATGGAAAACCATTGGAGGGCAGCATGCTTGATGTTTGGGGATTTGTTTTTTGGCAGAGCTTTCAAAAAATGAATTGTTTCCCTTTTAAGAATAGGCTATAATCCATTAGCTTCTTGAAATTCAGATTTTCAGCTGAGAATTTAAATGAGAGGCTTCAAATAGTCCAGCTCAGCAACTGAAGGGCTGATCAGTAATCTGATATTTGTTCTTTAGGGTGAAAATCTTGAACTACTTCAACACAGCTGTCAGTAAAATCTTGAAACAAATCAGAATATCTTGTTTAGAGATTTTGGTAGATCCTTATTTAAATTTTAAACTTAAAAGGTAAGTTTGGGGCATTAAAGTGTATCAAATTTGCAGTGGTCTTTGAAGTATTTCTGAAGCATTTGTATTTTGAAGTCAGACAACGGCTTTAATTTCCCTTCCAGAACTATACTTTATCTACATAATGTAATAGATCTGTTAAAATTGCCAAATCTGGGATGCTGTGAGCACATGAGTCAGTGTAATCTGTGCAGTCACTCATCATCCACAAATAACTTGAGGGCATTCAGATAAAAATACATGATAGTGTAAAAAAAAGTGGTTACTTACTCTATAAAGTCAGTATTCTGCCGTGAAATACCAGATTCTCCAAAAGATTTGAGTTGATCTGAAGTATCAGAAAGTGCAGAAGAGTTTAGATTACCAAGTATTTACCTTTTTTTGCATGAGTTGCCCTGTTTGCAAATACCTCCAAGGGTAAGACCTGAAGGATTTAGTTCCATGTGTGTCAAGCACTTTTTAAGACAAAATAAAAATATTTCTTTCTTCACCTATCTATCAAGACCTAAAAGCAGAATTCTGTAGAACTTCTAGAACACACAGACCCTCCAGAGCAGCTTGACTTAAAGCAACCCTGGTGAAAACTAAGTACTTGTGGTAGGTTGACCCTGGCTGGATGCCAGGTGCCCACCAAAGCCGGTCTATCACTCCCCCTCCTCAGCTGGACAGGCGAGAGAAAATATACTGAAAAGCTTGTGGGTCGAGATAAGGACAGGGAGAGATCACTCACCAATTACCATCCTGGGCAAAACAGACTCGACTTGGGGAAAATTAATTTAATTTATTGCCAATCAAATCAGAGCAGGTTGATGAGAAATAAAAATGAAATCCTAAAACACCTTCCCCTCACGCCTCCCTTCTTCCTGGGTTTAACTTTACTCTGGATTTCTCTACCTCCTTCCCCCCAGTGGTGCACGGGGACAGGGAATGGGGGTTGCGGTCAGTTCATCACACGTTATCTCTGCTGCTCCTTCCTCCTCAGGGGGAGGACTCCTCACACTCTTCCCCTGCTCCAGCGTGGGGTCCCTCCCATGGGAGACAGTCCTCCATGAACTTCTCCAATGTGAGTGCTTCCCATGGGCTGCAGTTTTTCAAAATCTGTGCCAGCGTGGGTCCCTTCCATGGGGTGCAGTCCTTCAGGAACAGACTGCTCCAGCGTGGGTCCCCCGCGGGGTCACAAGTTCTGCCAGCAGACCTGCTCCAACGCGGGCTCCTCTCTCCACGGGTCCACAGGCCCTGCCAGAAGCCCTCTCCAGCACGGGCTTCCCATGGGGTCACAGCCTCCTTTGGGCATCCACCTGCTCTGGTGTGGGGTCCTCCACAGGCTGCAGCTGGATATTTGCTCCACTGTGGACCTCCATGGGCTGCAGGGGGACAGCCTGCCTCACCATGGTCTTCACCGGGCGCTGCAGGGGAATCTCTGCTCTGGCGCTTGGAGCACCTCCTCCCCTCCTTTCTCACCAACCTTGGTGTCTGCAGAGTTGTTCCTTTCACATATTCTCACTCCTCTCTTCTGAGTGCTGCTAGTGTTGTGCAGTTTTTTTCCCCCTTCTTAAACATGTTATCACAGAGGCGCTACCACTGTCACTGATGGGCTCAGCCTTGGCCAGCAGCGGGTCCGTCTTGGAGCGAGCTGACATTGGCTCCATCAGACATAGGGGAAGCTTTCAGCAGCTTTTCACAGAAGCCACCGCTGTAGCTCCCCCGCTACGAAAACCTTGCCATGCAAACCCAATACGGTACTCTTGCTAGCAGTTACTGCTGCAGGAGGAATAGAGTAATTGAAGTGCCTTAAAGTAAATCCCCAAATTAGAAAACTTTCTTTATCTTTCAAAATGCACTTGCTATTTAAGGACTTTACACCTGTTCCATTAAAAATTAGGGGAGGCTGATGATTGTAGTATCTTGCCTGTTGGTTGTGGTTAGACAGGTTTACCTGATCTTAATAACATTTTTCTGATCTTAATAATGTTCCTGTCATGCTTTATGCAGAACTCTGTTTATGTCAGAGGTATGAGGTCTTCTAAACTGACTGTGTCTTTTTAGGGAAAGCACCTTTCTAGGGAAGGACTTGCCCAATGATGGCACAATGCAAAAAAGCCATAAGCCTGCACCTTGAGAAATACCCTGTCAGGATAAGCATTAGAATATACAGGATCTGTTAGTGCATTCTCTTATTTTAAGTGTTAAACAATTTTATCACTTACTCATTCCAGAACCTAATTTTATTTGGTGTAACATCTGTATGTCAGATGCTGACCTTGAGTATGACTTGTTAACATTCAGTAAAGTCTTTGAGAAGTATCTGTGACTCTAAAAGCTTAATTCAAACAGTGTGACAACTGTGCACTCTGATCAGAAGGGCAGACACAAGCAACTTATACCCCAAACCACTTCTTCTGCTGGCAAAGCCAGTTGAAAGTGTTTGTGGAACTATACTGTAAGAAAAACAAGTCTGTTGTTAGTCTGCTTCAATAAACTTTACAAAGACTTCTAAACTGACTCAGCCAGGCAAGACAGAATGCCAACTAAAAAACCTAACAAGGAGTAATAGAGGAGAAGGCTGCTGCTCTTCTAGAAGCAGATTATTGCTGTTGCCAAGTGGGTAGGACTGGTTTTGGAGCTGTCGCCTCTGTCACGACCAGTCCCACATCCCCTTCATTTCCAGGCTGTAATCGTGGCTGCCTGTCCAGGGCCAAATCGCTCATACCCTTTTAATCAAAATCATTTACCTCTAGGTAAAAGTATTCTGGAGGTGTCTGCTTCCTATGAAGTCTAGGAAGCTGCACAAGAAAGGAACAAGGAAACTCTCTAGCATAAATGCCAACTTCGATGTCGACTTATTTTGTGGTCTTAGATAAAAAAGTCTGTTTTCCACAGTTTCCAGGTACTGGACAGGTCTAATGCATGTCAGATGACGATTAAAATGCATGCCCACTTAATGTGATTTGAGAACACATGCTGCACCAGATGACATAAAATGAATGGAGCTAATGCTTCTTGATCTCTGGTAGCAAATCTGTGTTTCATTTTTCAAGAAATATAATAAGGATAATCCTAATTTATCAGATAAAATTTAATCTTGTTGGTGTTTACCGAGGCAATTAATATTGACACAACACTTTGTTAGGAGAGCTAGCTAATATCAACTAGTTAAGAAAAGTAACCGGTAGTAACCTAATCATTCTTTTGTGGCAGGTGTAACAAATTTAACTATTTGGTAAATATATTCCTAATAAAAATGGGATAGCAAAAAATCCATGAAAACATAATTTTAAGTTCAAAGACTTGACAGTTATGGACATTTTGAAACAAACAGAAAAGTAAATAAAAGCCAGAAGTGATCTCATAGCTGGGTTCTACCCCTCAGCGTTGAAACTCATCATAGTAATGATTTCTTCCTGAATTCTTCGAAAAGTCTCTTCCAGATTCATATATTTCTTTAATCTCTTTTAGATTCATGGTTTTCCTTACATGACTTTTTGTTTTGACACAAACACTATTCTCCTAATAGACAGTCACAGAAAGAAGGCAAGCAAGGACTATCTCTTGGAATTATTTTCTGACTTTCTGATGAGGTTCTTTTACTTGTGCTTCTTTCCTACTTGTGCACATGCCTTTTCCTTGTACTATGTCATCTGACACAAAGCTTTGACAGCTAATAGCTCTTGAAAATCTCCTTGAAGTCATCAATTCTCCACCTACATCTGTCTTGCATCTTCAGCTGCCTTACCAGTATCTCTTTCTAGATAACATTTCTTCTCATGTAACTTAAAAACAAATTCTTCATCTTTCACTGTATCCTCCCTTTTTCATTAGTTCCTCTAGCATCTATATTAATCAGTGCTGCAACCCTAGCATATTTTCTAATTCTTTTGTTTCCTTTTGTTCCCTCCTTGCCTCTCTGCAGCACATGCCAATATGCTGCCAGTTTAATTTCTACATTATCTCCAAAATCCATGTCTTCAAATTCCCATTGTGCAAAGTTTTGTCAAGGCTCAATAAGCTGTTGCATTGACTGCTAAAGATGTAAAAGATTCCCATGGTCATCCCTTTCGAATCTATCCAGATTGCTAACACCATTCGTTTCCAATTCCTGACTTCCTTTTAAGCAACAGTAAGACTTCGGATCCTGACATTCCAGGCCTTCTAAAATTTGGAAATTTCCACATCTAGTTTCTTTCCTGTGATTTCATTGTTCTAACTCATAATAGTTTTAACTTACATTTGTATCTCACTTCCCTTCAGTCACCTCTTCTGCTTTTTCGTATTTCTCCTCTTTAAATTCCTTCCTAAGAAATTAGCTAAAAAGTCTAAATCCTCTAATTTCACCCTGTAAGATCAGTTCGTATTTATTAAAAAATCTACAGACAAAGAGTGTATCTGTCACCGTTATTGATGCTATCACTGTTCAGGTAATAAACAAATAAAATATTTTGTATCAGTCATAAAACAATGTATTTGAACCAGATCTCACCCTTAATATATGCTTATTAATTCAATTGATATTTATCATGATAACATTGACCACAGTTAATGTATTTAATATTCATGCAGATATACAATTTTATACACAGCTACAGATTTTTGTTATAATTCTGGCCTAATTATCATTAAAGCATTATCCATATATTTCACCTACAATGGAAGAAGTCCTGACATGTTGACATAGATATTCAGTATTGTATGGGAATAAGAAGCACACTCTCCCAAACCTTACATCACCTACAAGTTGCGATACGCTTTATCTTTGTTATCTTCATCATATGCAACTAGATTATATTGTTCTTCACTATGACTGAATTATGTAGAATTAAAAAGTGAAAAACCTGGTAAAAAAGATCATTAACTGCAACAGTTAAGATATATTTAGAAGACACTTTCTGCTTTGCTACTAAATTACCATGCTGACAAGTATTACTGCTTTTTATATTTTCAGATCTGTAGATGAAGACAGAAAAATAGAGTACAAAGCTGCTGTCAAACTCCAGAGCTGGTTTAGAGGATGCAGAGTCCGAGCCTATCTGAGGTAGTATATTAAGCCTATTTTAATCTGTATTTCAATCTTGATTTTTTTCCCCAAAATTTCTCATGGTATTACTTGATTTTAATAAAATGGGAGCATTTGGAAAAAAAATAACCATTATTCTGCTTTTAAATAGAATTAAATATATGCCATGCCACTGTAAGAAATAGTAATCTTTTATTTTCAGAACTGCATAAAATTAAAATGGCAGGATGCTAATAAGTAGCATGGAAATAATCCATCTTCAGAACAGTTACACAGTATTGTTTAAGAAATCTTGGCATGACTGGAGAAAAAAAAGATGTCCCTCAGATATGCTGTTTGCAGACTTTTCTTATCTTTGTTGTTGTGGATGTTACAGAAAAATTGGCTAGTGAGTATATGGTAACTGAACTCTTATTGTAGAAAATTAAATTCTACTGCTGGATTTGACCAGGTCAAGATTTAAAAAAATCTTTCTTTACATAATTTTCTTCATTTATAAAACAGAGATCATGTACAATTACTTTGTTCTGTAAAATGACATACCAACATTGATACATTTTTTTTGGAAACACTATGGTTGGTCCCTTCTCCCAGGAGACCCTCCTCCTTTTTTTATGATCATAAGCCAAGTTGGTCAAACTCATATGCTTGAATTTCTGTATCTGCATAAAAATTAAGGCTCTGAGGGATAGGGATTGTTACATCTTCTAGGTTGACCTCTTGCCTGTAGCAAATCATTTTCTATCATCCAGACATACTGTATCAAGCCTAAAGAATTATTAGGTTAAATAACATTAATCACTTAATGGCCAATATTTTCCTTATAAAAAGATAGGCTACAGCCATTGTGTGCACTTGTTAAAAACTGGTAATCTGTCTTCCATTGCTGGTTCAAGTGTGTTGTCACAAGACGCAGCCATCACATGCAAGTGTTCAGTAGGAAAACGTGGTATTTCAGCCCTCCAAGGAATATCAGCTATGTCATCAATGTCAAAAGCCCCTACAGACTGAGGATTTGTTAGTGCCCCTCTGTTTCCAGCACATGAGTAACAACAGCATGCTGCAGAAGAAAGTGAAAACCCAAGCATCTTTGCCAATCTATTCTGTAGGAAAATGCTCTTCCAAATGCATGTTTGTATTTAGTAATGACCAATATAAGAACAATGTAATTGTAATAAGTGTGTAAGAAGAACTAAATCAGCTAAGTGTAGAAGAGGATTTTCTCTGCAACTGTATACGGAATGATCCTGCTCAGTGTCCTCTTTCCAAAGATGGATGTGGTGTCTGACTTAGGAGCACAAGCTCAATATAGCCAGTTGTCAGTGTTCTGAATTACCCTCTCATTTAGATCCTTTGAATTACTTGCTGGAAAAGACTGCCTTCACTGAGTGACGCTAGCTGTACTGCAAGGCTTCTAAATTTGATGTCCATAGTTAGGTGACATGAATGCTCCCCTATATAGCTTTTTCTAGGCCGTCCCAAAGTAATGATTACAGTATTTTCTGCAAAATTAATGTGAGACATCAGTTAAGGAATTTTTAGTAGAATAATAATGTATATATAGTAAAGACAGAGTAAAGATTTACTAACAATTAAGCTAGGTGTAATTTTATAAAACCGAAAAACTAGCCTAAAAATTCCAGATATCTGTGGGTTTTGTCAAATACTTAAAAACTGCAAAGCTGTGAAAATGCTGCATGTGACTGAAAAAATTCTGAACTAGTCATATATGTTGGTTAAAACCATTCATGAAAATACAATCATCTGTCATGCAAATTACATTTGAAAGGCTATTTCATTAAACTTTTGTAATGATAACTGAAATAGTATATAGATAAGTTCACAGTAACCCATTTTTTCCAAAAGCAAAGTATATGTGTATCTATAAATATAGGTATATATTGGTTTATAAGTGTGTATGTGTGTGCATACGTATATATGCATACATATATATGTATAAAGTATGTTTGCAGTGGCCATCTGTTTGGAATAAGTATGGATAATATGCTATACATTATTTTTAATATTAGGAAAAAATAAAGTTATATTGTAATGTCTCAAATAATCATTAGTTTGTTAATATATTTCATTTTAGATATCTGAACAAAATGGTGATTTTTATACAGAAGTGGTGGAGAGGTTATCAAAGCAGAAGATACTTCAGAAGAATGGTGGAGGTAGAAAACGAATTTTAAAAATTCTGTTTGGTTATTTATAGAATACATCTGAAGTAATTAATTCACTCATCTTGAAACGAAAAAGCTGAAACTTGATCCTTTATACACACAGACACGTACTTAACTTTACTATCATGAAAAGCACCATTAATTTCAGTAAGCCTACTCATAATGGTCAAGTTAAGTCAGTGTTTAAGTGTTTGCAGCTCTGGAGTATTAGTCCCCAGATCAGCAATGAGATCTGCTCATGCAGAAGCCTGCCTGCATGATGCTAATTGCAGGATTGGAGCTTTTCAAGATGCTTTTTTTGCTTGCAGAACTTTTAATTCTGAAAATAAAATAAGCCAATGTATCTACGCATTGCTGTTCTATGTTTTAGTGGTTTAAATTTCTTACTTAATGAACCTTGAAGTATTTGAGGTTTTGCCTTAAGGCACACAGCTGATCACAGTCAATCTAATTCCCTTGATGGACTTGAAGATAGCAAAAGTGTATGATAGCACACAAGCTAAAACCTCTGTTAACAGGTTTAGGAGATTAAGAAGAAACTAATTTGCCTTTAACATAAAACAATCAAGTCTTTAATATGTAGTTTACTTCATTAATTTATCAATTTATGTTAATACTTTACAATAGTTTTAAACTTGTTAGTCGTTTATTCTTGAATAATTTTGTTAAATTGTTGTGTTTCAGTCAAAACAGACAAGTCAAGCAAAAGCAAAAAAACCGAACCATAGTAACTCATATATTACAGGCTAAAGTCCATACCTCCTACTAAACTATATTTTCAAGTAACAGGACTTGTGTGCCTGAAAGCTTGTCTATTTTTCCCCAAAGTCTATCAGTAATCTAATTAAAGATTTTATCTCTTCCAACTTTCCTGGCTTAACTAATAAATTATGAGTCATCCTTTCAGGCTATGGCTTTCAGTCTACCTTCTAAAACACTGATTTTTAAATACAGGGAAGATAGCTGCAAGGAGCCATCTTTTGGCCACTCCATGTTCAAATGCTAATTTCTTCATTGATAGTAATCAGTTTCCTATTTTTAACAGAATGATGTCTCTTCAGAGACTTATTTTTATATATAAGGTTGTAAAAACAGTGGTGCCCAGATAAGATACAAAATGAACACATCACCACCATGCCTACTGTCCATTGCACTGTTCTGAGCGGTTCCCTGTAGGTGAGATGGCAAGATAATTCTTCCCAGAGGGCCAGCCTGCAACGGCATTTGGAATTGGTGCCCAGTGACAGGATGAGAGGCAGTGGGCACAAACTGAAATACAGGAAATTCCACTCAAAGATAAGAAAGAACTTTTTTTACTGTGGGGGTGATCAAATACTAGAATGGGTTGCCCAGAGAGTGCAAGCTGTGCTTGTGGAGTCTCCATCCTTGGAGGCAGTCAAAACCGAACTGAATGAGGCTCTGCACAACTTGCTTTTATTGACCCTGCTTTGAGCAATGGTTTGGAGCTCCAGAGGTCCGTGCCAACCTCAATTGTTCCATGCATCTATGAAATTGGAGGTCTTTTACCTCCTCTCCTTATTACTTCTTTTTTCTTTTGCCCTCTCTTCTTAAAAAATACTGACAGTTACATTTTCAGATAAAGTCTTTAAAATTAGCCCAAATTTCCTGTAATAACCAAGGTGACATAGTTAGCATCATAAACTCCCCTCAGCTTTCCATTCTTGAAATATATTTCTGAAAATAAAAATAATTAAAAAAAGACTTTAACCAATAAAGCCTGGTTCATATGTTGTTCTTCAAGCAGCATAAATGACAATCCCTTGCCAAGTCTGAAGCCTGTGGAATAACGTAGGACAAAAAATTGTGCAAGCCCACATTTAATACACACATTCTAAATCAGACCATGAATTCAGGATACCAGTACTTATCCAATATTAGCCAGGGCTCTAGGAGAAACAGAATCTCATCAGCAAGCTTACAAATTGTAGAGCAATCAGCATAGAAAGCCATCTTTTTCCCTCAAATGCTTCATTTTGCGCTTGCCATCTCTTTGATTGGAGAGGACTAAATAGCCTGATTGAAAGCCAGCCTGAAAGCCATGGAAGTAGCAGGTAAAAAGGCACCTCTTTCTCCCTTTAGACTGCTATATTCAGTATTGTATGTTTTGGGGTGGACTTAAATATAAAGTTCATGTTCATTCCCTATATTCATTGTTATACTATCTTTACTTGATCAATGGCTGAATTTGGAATATTTTAAAAATCTTCTCAGCAGTTTACCGCAACTTTTAATTTAAAGGATCAGTTAATGTTTGCATTGAACTCTTGTTAATAACTGTTGTAATTACTCTTCATTATGAAACACAATGATACATTTGACATGATAGTTCCTTAAATACAAAAAAAATTGGTCACTTTAAAATTTGTCCGCTGACAATGATTGGATTGGTATCTGCTGCCAGCAAACAAGGCAAAGCATATGCACAAAATACCCATGATTACTTGACAATAAATCATTTTAATGATTATATTCAAAATTGTGAAATGTGAGTGGTACTGATGCGGAAAATAACAAAGGCTGAGGCTCATCAGATTGGCTGTCCATATGTGCATCACTACTACTATTTCATTTGTTACTCTTCTAGTGCCTCTTCCTTTGATACATTAAGTTAAAAAAAGATATTGATGGTATTTACATGACTAAAGTTACATGCTGTTCTATATTCCAAATATAGATGCTTTGGTATAAAGCTTTGTTTCCTAATGTTAATCTCAAGCTAAAATTAAGAGCGGTGCTCCTATGGTTTTCTTAATAACTTAGTTACGCTGGTTGTACTGGACTCTGAAAGTCTTGCATGACTTGCAGGAAAGTATGAATTTTAAAACCAGACAAACAGCAGAACATGAATCAAACTGTACATTAATGTTTCTTTTTACAATATTTCTTGAAGCCAAGAAATCACTTGTTAAGGACAAATGGAATTGTAAAATTTCATTGTTATATGAAGTCAGCATGCATGATGGCCATATTTTCAGCTCACTTTGGAAAGAGATGCAATTGAAAAAAGTGAATATTTCATGTGATGTAGTTTGACACTACCCTAAATAGTTTAGCTTCAACTCAGTAACCAGTTTTATATAATCCCGGTCTAATAGGAATTAGGCAAATGCCTATTTGCTCTATAACAACAACAACAAAAAAAAAGCCTGTTCCCAACTTAGACCATGTATTGGTTCCTTCTCTCAATCTGCTGTCAATCAAATTTCTGGTTCTCCTTTGAATTTGTCACTTTGTATTAACTGTTTAAAGAAAAAGAAAACACCAATCAGGATCAGATCACGTTTGCAGGTGATTCCCAAACATGTTTTTAAACAGAAAAGGAGAAAGTAGTACAAGAGTTTATACAAAAAAGGCTTCAAATATATTTTGGAATCATAGATTTAAAGTAAACTAGTAGGGAGACTGGTATATTAACATCAGAGACAGATACAAAAAATTCATCGTTCAGAAGTGGAGGTGGTTCATGTCGGTGAGATGGCAAGAAAATTCTTCCCAAAGAGTCAAACTTACAGTGTCACCTTGGAATTGGCACCCAGTGAAAGGATGAGCAGCAATGCAATGGGCACAAGCTGAAATGCAGGAAAGTCTACTTAAGCATAAGAAAGGAGTCTTCTGGACAAGAAGGCCCCAGTTCAGGAAAGAATCTTTTGTTTACTAGGAAAGCACATAAATATACACTGGGGTTGAAGCACTGAATTATGGCTATGCTTTTGTGAATAGGGATGAACACTTTCTCCATCACTTGTAATAGCAGAACTAGTACATATTATTCTAATCAGGATTAGAAAACAGAGGGCAAATCCATTTGCAAAAGAACCTAGATGGTGATACAGGCTTCGGCTTTTGGTGCAAGGATAAGGTTGTAAGACAATTATATGAGCAATTCTGCAGGAATGTGTAATTTCCTTTTATTTGTGTATGACCTTATTAAGTAGTGGTAGGTAAGGCCTGGATTTGTCACACCTAAGTGAGGTATGCGAGTTAGGACCCTAGTTGCCATTGACTGTCTCTGTAAATAGTAGACAGAGATGCGATTGCAGAGCTCTTCAATATTTTGCCAAGCTCAGAGAGAAAGTGGTCCCACTGTCGTTCAGTATTGATGATATAAAGAGCATAATGATGTTAGGTCTCCAATTTAGGTTCTTCAGTGAAATAGGATGGATTCAGACCTAAGTGCTCACAGCCTTCAAGTATGAGAAGAATAAACAGAAAGGTGTGAGATTGCTTAATTTAATCATTGACCTGACCTGATGATCATTTTTAAGCTTAGGAATTTCCTTAAAAAATGTACTTTATCTATTTGGTGGTGCAGTAGCTCTTACACTCCCTTCCAAAGAAAGAAGAGATAAGCTGCAAAACAAAGTTGTATCAATTTAATCAAACAGTTTAGGAATATACTTAGACCTGGCAACCATTATTTCATTCCAATATTAGCTATCTACAGTTAGTATAATTCAGAAAACATTTATGGAGACAAAAGGGGAGATAGAGTTCACTGTTTATCCTAATTCATACCTTTGGGACAGAGTTTCCCTCAAATATGTATATGTATACATGTGTGTGTGTGTGTATACATCTACACATATACGTGAAACTTTTTTGAAATTTAGCAGTCCTGCATTTTTCTTTCATATAAGAAATATCTTTTATACTGTTTCCATTATTAGTAGATTGGCATGATATTAAAGTGAGCATTTAAAATGCACCTTAATTAAACGGCAGGAATTATGCCTTGCTTAATGTAATGAAGAAAGAGAATTTAAAATGAAGTAGCATCATTGTGTTCATTTGTAAATAACATATTGCAGCCAACTGTTTCTTAATTGCCCAGACTGTTGATAAATAATCCAGTCCTGCTGCTCTCCACAGACAATTTGCTTTGGATCAGACTAGGCAATTCAAATAACACTAATTACAGTGAAACCCTTTTATAGAGAATTCCTGTTTGCCATGGGGGAGAAAATCACTATATCAGGGGAAAGCACTTTTGCCTTTGATTTGTGTCTAAAACATGAGAAACACATAAAAGCTGCATGTTGTGCTAAATAAAGGACATACTCTTGCATTCAAAGTACTTATATTTTACTTTTTATGATACAATTGTGAATTATGTTCATTTTGCATTTGTAATTAGAGGGCGGAACAGATGTGAAAGCTTAGTTTAAAGTGATGTATCCATTAAAATAACCTATGCTGCCAAGTGATTGCTTAGTATAATAGGGGATTCGTTCACTATGAGAGGAATTCTACTTTATTGGAAGGAAACCAGGACTTCAGGAAATGTTTTCTATATCAGGGGATTCACTGTAACATGGTATCATTGTAGTTATGATTTTATGATGTTAAAATGAATATTAAATGAAACAAAATTCCCAAGGATTACTCGGGAGGCAGCTAAGTACATAACATTTAGTACAGATGGTTGGAAGGCACAATTTTGCTCCATCACTGCATCCGTATCCTTGAACGATTTCGACTGAAGACAGCATTTCTTTGAATTTTTCATTAAACCAGACGTCTTGAAATATGAATTCCTTTTATGTTTCTGTGAGTTTTGGCTAAAAGAACCCCAGTGAATAAATCATACAATACTACGTGTCACCAGCACTTGTGAATATTTCTGCTTTGTTATTCTACTCTCAGTAGAGCACCATTGATTATCAAACTCAGCGGAGAGCATTTTATGATCATATATCTCCATTAGCTCCTAGTTTGACTACCATAGATTTTTCTGGTTAAGCCTGCATTATGTATTAGGAAGCCTATCTCTTCAATACAAAGTTTGATTTTATTCTCTCTAAGCCTAGAACTCTTATTATGTATTATGTATAAAGATTCTTATCTTTTATATGTAAAAATAGGAGCACTGTCTTTGTGTAACTGAAATATATGCCATCTTTTTTTTCCTTGATTCACAGACAGCATATTTTATTATGAAGATGAATTTCTACAATGAAATGGCTGTCAGGGTAAATATTTCTTCACTTGTTAAACAAATGAAAAGTCAATTGTGCTCCGAATTTGCTTTTGATAAAATGAGCAAACCAGAATAATATACACTTGATTGATATGCTGATGGCAACAGCGGGAAATAGTACATAGTTAAAAATTAAAGTTACACTCAGTAGTCGGGGTTGTATTTGAAAACCGTAGCTGAATTTAAGGCATCTGCATGTGTCTTGCCCTATTTAAATGTTCATTGTACCTTACCATATACGATACTGATAAAAACCCCAAACATTCTATCTGCAAGTATTCTTACAAATGTAGACATATACTTACAGTTCTGAAAAACTATAGGACTTTTATGTTCGAGGATGTGGCTGTGCTTTTTTTTTTTTTGTTAGTACATGGTATTTGATGTATTGGATCTCAAAAGAGTTACTGAGAGAGCACAGGACAATTTCGTTGCTTAAATGTAGAGGTGGAACTGCACTCATCTCGTTGATGATACTATGAGTGAGTTTTGCTAGATGAAGAAGAGTATAAACAGTCCTTGAACTTTAATAAATATACAGCAGATGAAGTTTGTTATGGGGAAAACTGCAAAATATATTTAACTAGAAATTAGCATTTCTCCTGAACTTTGGAACTGCACTTAAACAAATATGTAAAACAAACATGGGAAGGACATGAGATAATTCTTGGGATTAAATCTTTTTATCTTACTTAATTATTTTATTTTGAGGAATAAAACTGCTTTACTTTAGAGGCCTATATCTTTTTAGGCAAGGCATCTTACCTTTTGAATTCTACCAAATGTAGGAATGTGGTGGGGATGGAGATTAACCCAAGGAAACTCCTGTAAAGTAGGAAGATTCCCAAAATGCCTTTTAATTTTGTGGCCTTTCTGGCTCCAAAATAACTCAGACTCAAGAGATGTGTTCCCATCAGGTTTTTGACTTGGTGGTGGTTCTTGGAAAGGCACAAAATAGAATCTTGCATTTGATGCATGTTACGGAGCTGAAGGTATTTAACAGCAATCTAATCGCTCAGAAATGCACTTCTTTTTTTTTTTTTTTTCCTTAGTTAGCTAGTTTGAAAGTATTCCACAGTGGATAAATGCTGTATACTCATGCAGCTGAAATAAGTGAGAAAACACAAGATGCAAGCCAGTTCTTAAAAGTTGGCTGTGTACTTTTAGAAGGCATTTGAAGACCAAATTTCAGGGGTAATTATGTATTCTAGTCAAATGCAGTTTTGCATTTGGTCTTTCATTTTTAAAAGAAATTGAATGTGTTGCCATTCATTTGTAATGGAAATATAATGTTGAATCATTAGGTGATATAAATCTTCACAGTGCTATTTTTTCAGTCATGTCCTTTTCTTTAATGGAAATTTGAATCAGTAGAAAACAATAGAACAGATCTTTATTTATTTGCAAATGTCAGAATCCCATTCTCCTTTGTCTAAATCTCATGCAGCCATATCTACAGAGCAGATTTCAAATGCTACCATTCTGAAACACCAATTTTTTTTTTATATTTTTTTTTTTTGCTGTCATCTGTTTTTTGAAGAACTAACCAAGGCCCAGGACAATAGAGAACAAGGCCTGTTGGGTTTCTGCACAGCAGGTGTGTGGCCAGACTTTAGGCTTCCTAAGCAAACAGTGCCTCATATTCATACATTGTGAGCTTGGTTCATGATTTATATACTTCAGTGTTGTGAAAATGTAACAATAACTGTGTCTGTTTTTCTGTTTAACCACTTTGTTTTGCCTCATAGTATTATTAAAATATTTATTTCAGTTTATAGTCACTGATTAGAAAGGCACTTTCAGTTTTGGCAATTGAAGTATCATTGAAGGCATACACATGCTCATAGTTTTGAAGTCAGTCTACACTCTGTCTCCCTGGACTGCATCTAGTTGTAACCAGAACTATCAGTTTCACCTTTTTAAATTAAATCAGAGAACTTGTTTTAATCAATTTCAGTTTTGATTAGTAGGTCAGAATATGATTCTCTCTCTTAAAAGATTTAAGGTTGCTATAAATTTTCAGCAACAAAAGTAATCCTATGGAAAAAAAATATTTCCATGAGCAGATGGCTTTTGATATATCAAGGTTTTGCCATTTGTTTTAGTGCTTAAAATAAACATTATTTATAAGACCACTTACATTTTGATGTTACTTAATGAGGAATATGCATCATTGATTTGACTAGCTTAAGAGGTCATTTAGAACTTGCCCGTTAACAAGCTGTAATCTGCTGAGCACACAATGACTTTGTTTAAAATTATCTGTTCAGTGCTGATCAATGACAATAATTGTTTTGTACCAATCACTGTTGAAACTTGCTAATTACTTTGAAGGGCATACACACTTGTCTCTTTTTTTTTCAAGAATTTTTTGAACATTCACCTTGGAATTAAAAAGAAATATAGTCGTAACACATTATACTTCCTTATAGAAGCAAATATTGAGAACTTTCACACTGAAAATATGAACATCAGCAGAAGCTTTGTGTAAATTGTTCTCTTCCAAAGAGATTAGTTGTCAGTTTTGTGATCTCTGACATACAGTATTAGGGAAACAGAAATGTAGCATAAAATAATTTGAGACATAATAGAGTTTTTCTTACTTATGTTTCATTCAGTTGAAATCAGTGAGGTCATTCTGAACAGAAAGTGGTGTAAATAAAGGTAGAATGCAGCATTTAATTGGTACACTGAGCCCACTGGAGATAATTATAGCTTTATACAATTTGAGTCTTTTGTCTTTCAGTTTGAGTTTTGATCCTTTAACCCACAAATATCCAGTTCTGCATTTATAGCTGTGAGGTGAACACTGTCAGAAGGAGTTTCAAAGGGACCATAATCCTGCATTAATGAGCACACAGCTATATGGGAGCCAAGTTTTCTCTTGTTGAGAAATTTTGAAGCCAAACAGAAAAACAAAGCTAAGATCCTTATTCACATGCAAAGGATTTTGTTTCATCCCAGATCTCTGAAGACATACTCATTCTTTGCTCTTTCTCTATCCCTTTTTAACCCAATAAGCTTGTGTATGAGAAGGTGGAGTTGCAAAGAGTATGAAATTTATTATCATCTAGTGCAAAGAAGCATGTCTAGTGCTTAACCTTTCTTGTTCCCATGTTCAGCTGTTCACATAACTATTATTTATTCGTATTATAATAGTGTCTCGAGGTCCAAACCCTTTTTATTCAAAAAACCCCAAACAAACAACACCACATAGGTAAAAGAAAATACCAACTTTTAAAATTAGTTCTGAGTCTTACTTGGGAAGAGAGGAAAATACGTGGTGATGCACAAAGGGGAAATAGAAGAGTGTACTAACAATAAAAATGAATATCCTCTTATTCCTAATAGCTTTAGTGCATCATTTTATTTTCTTGGTGAAACATCACTCAAAGACTTACTGAAAGCTTCCCTGTGATACTTATTCTCTTGCTAAATATAATTACAACTGTACCACAAGGTGCCACTGGTTGAGACTGAATGCTAGTTTTTACTTTAAAGAATAGTGTTTTGGCTTTTGTGATTGCAAAGCGGTACCAAAGACAAAGTATGAAAATATGCAATGCTGCCTTAGTCTGCTTATAGATGACTCCAGTGTGTTACTGTTTTCAGCTCAGGAAATGGCAGGAGATGGGAAATCGCAATAAATTTTGTCAGTTATCACAGTGGTCCAGAATTGAACTGCAATGGAACTGGAAGGAGAAGAGAGAAATTTTCCTGTTACTGAAAGCACTCCCAAGACTTGATGATACAGACTCTGAAGTCACTGAGTGCAAAGGCTGATTGATAGTGTGGGCAACAGGCAGATTTTTTTTCCTTGCCTTCTTCCTGAATCAAACACAACAAAACATGACACTATTTTTTCCTTTTTTTACATGCTGTGTTGGAGTAAGAGATAGGGTGAGAAAAAAAAAAAACCACCACAAACACAGGGATTGCACTCCACTACCAAGTCATACCCTGGTTCTGTAAAGAGAAGGGTTGGTGTAAAGGAAAAAAAGAAAAACACTCCCTGTAGATACACTGAAGAGTTTAAGTAAGTTCTTGAAAAGTCTAGTAGCCAGAGGCCCACTGGAAAAGGAGAGCTCTTGGCAAATCACAGCATTCTTCTCTTCAATGCACTTAGTGAAGGTGAGTAGCTTCTCACCTTGAAGTCGCTTCTGGATGTAAGACCTAGATTTTTTTGCTTCTTTAATGTAGATTCTGCCTTTCAGCTGTTATGTCTCTTAAGATTTCAAAGCTGTAAAGGTCAAAGAGATGGAAGTTGGAGCAGGAGTGAAGGTAATGCAGACTAGAAAATAGAAATTGGGAGATTAATTTAGAAATGTATTGAGAAAAAAAGGAGACAAAATGCAAGGAAGGAAGTAAAGAACACTTTGCAGGAAGATAAATAAGTTCAAGGATGGAAGAATGTAAAGAGAGAGGAACTAGACACTGAGAACAGAGGAAAAGATCATTAAACTATTTTTCAGATGTGTTGATCTAGAATACACTGACCTCTTATGGGAAGGAAAATGAGGAGTGAGAGCAGCCCTCCGCATGACTGAATAGAGCGAGTTACGTCTTCTGCCTGTACATGTCATGGCATAGGGATAAATGCAACGAACCAAATGGCAGTACTGATAATTTTTTACCTAATATTTACTTTCCCTTCCCACAAAACAGATAGCCAGTAAACCTGTAATCATTTCAGAAACATCATGATTAGAGTTTTTAAGTATCAGAGAAGGTTTAAACTCTTTTGTTGAAATAAATTCTTGGGGAAAGTCAGGCTAGACTAAGCCTTTTTTTTTTTCCCTTTTTTTTTTTTAACTGATGCTTTTTAAAATGCGCCAAAATATGAATCCTTTCTGGTGGAGGATACTACCTAATTTCAATTCTTAATACAACTTTAGGACTAGCTACAGATAAATAGGTTTCCTTTTCCAGTTTAAGCTTTGCCTGTTATGCAGGAGGAATAGTATTTAGTGAGAAGAGTATAATTAATGTGCAAAAAATAGACATGCATCATCTTACATTGGAGATGAAAGAACTGCAGTTTGTAAATGATGTTTCCAGAAAGCCTGATTCACTGAGTTACTGGGAAGACTTCTATTCAGTTTAGATCATATTCAGAGCACAAAGGTGAGAGTGTAGCAGAAGATATTGGTGAGGTGGTGACTCAGTAGGGAATGCATGTTGTACCTGAGAAAAGACACCACTTCTATTGTCTGTTTTTTACCATTCTTACAGAGAGCGATGCCACTGGCAGTAGCAGTCACTTCTTTTCATTGCCACACCCCAATATAAAGAGTGGTTTAAAACTTTTAAAAAAAAATTTTTTTACATTGGCATTTAATGGTAAATTCATATCACCATTTAACTACAATATGCTACATCCTACCCTCATTTTCTTCATTGAAACGTATTGATGCTTCTACTTGATAGCACTTTTAAGGAAACAATATTATTTGGGAAATACAACAGATATTTGATATGCATACAAACTTTTGATTTGAAATATACTAAGCAAATATTTATTTCCTCTAGATTCAGAAAAGATGGCGAGGCTATTATGTTCGGAAATATATCCATAATTATTATGCACTGAAGAAATACCTGGAAGCCATTTCTGTGAATAACGAGATTGTCAGGTAAAGATAAAAATTCCATGTGGTAAAGCATTCATTTCCTGTTCTTTCATTTGTAAAAAGTTTATGGCAGTAATTAAACTATTTATTTGAGTGTAGGATCCCTTCCATTATCAAATATATATATATATATCTATCAGTCAACATTCTCTTTATCCTAAGCCTATGCATGTTGTGCCACATTCTGTTCTCATTTACACTGTTATGAATCCAGAATAATTTCTTTGAATTAATTAGAGGTACTTCGGGTTTATACCAGCTTAATAAAACTGAATTTGGCTCTTCACCTATGCTCAGAACTCATAGCTGCCCTAAATATGGTTTGTTGAACTAGATTATTTTTTCCCTAGTATACACAAGCTAAAAGAATTTTTCTTTCACAATTTGTTTTGAAAATTGATTATTGACAATGAATGAAAGTGCAGATTTGAATCTAAGTTACATGCATGAGCCGTACTATGAATATTAATGAAAGATACTGTTGTGGACATCGTGAAGCAGTCTCTTTTCATAGTTACAGAAGAGATTCATTCACCTATTAGACTTCTGACTAGAACTGTTGTTGCTATGTGTTCCTACCCTATTTCTCCTATCCGTCCCCTGTCTTTCCCTGTACTTAAGTTGAAAGCTCTCTAAAATAGAGGCAATTATTTCCCTCTAGCACATTTGATGTCCTGAATCATGACTATTTTTTCAGATAACAGCAGAAACAAAGAGGCAAAATACTGGGTGACCATGATCATTACTTTCTCATTTTAAGTGAAGGGATGTTGGACAAAATGCATCAATTTTTTTTCTGTTCAGAAAGACTGAGGCAAATCTTTGCTTTCTGAAGTGTAGAAATACAAGGGAGTCTAGTGAAAAAGTATTTCTGGAAGTCTCATCTAGATCACATGGCAAAGACAATTCAGCCAGAAGACAGTTACAGAAAACAGCATATGCAAGTTATATATGAAAAAAAGAATTATCCAACTATTTTGGATGCTGCTTATTAATTTATATTCTTTTTCCACAATTAAGGCTGATGCTACAGCCTCTTTGTCATAGCATTATACCTTGTGCATTACATTGTTACATGTAATTAAGCATGCTGATAGCCGCCTATCTCTAAGCTCTCATTACTATTCGTTTAAATGTATTCTAGGCAGAAAGTTAGATCATAACTCAGCAAAACCAGTCTTAAAAAATTTGTCATCTCTTCAACCGCACCTTCTTGTGCTGAAATCCTTGAAATATGTTCTCTTCTTGAAAAGGTAGAATCCAGGAAGACTAGACCAAATCTTGGAAAGTAAATGAAGCCATAACTTTTGGTCTAAAATGAATATAACCGGATGAAGTGCAGAGACACAACCTGCTTCTCTGTCCTTAATATTTCTACCGCTCCTCTCTATTCCCTCCCTAAACCTGGAAGAAGGCTCATAATGTGTCAGTTAGTTAGATTGACCTTTGATGTGTGTGAACAAAACAAGATAGCAAGTGGTATTCGTGCTGTACTGAACACAGATTGATGGGAGCTTTGTATTTTATTTCCCCACACCCACAATAGATCTCTGCTGGGTACATCTAACTTTGGAGGGCTACAAAAATATTTGTCTCTCAGTACTTTGACATGTTCAACAAATTTCCTAGTATTTCTTCCAGGTCATTAAAAAACATAAAGCCTATGTATTGGGTAGGTATTTTAATCAAGAAATACTTTTGTGCTGTTTTTCTTTAACAAGTAAGGTGAGCGGTATGACTTCAGGTACACCAAAATGTGTCGAAGTTGCCATAGGTGAGCAGTATGACTTCAGGTACACCAAAATGTGTCGAAGTTGCCATGGGTGAGCTCTTCTCTGGCAACTAATATACTGATATTCTGCTAATTTGAGTTCTGTCTTCCAGAGTTCACAGTAATATATGTCTTTCAGGTTAAAAAATCCGTCTTTCAGATTTAAAAAAAGTTAAAAATGGATTTTTGAGCAAATTTGGTCAAATGGATCATATAATTTCAGTTTTAAAAATTCATCAGTTCTCAAGCGCAATCAAGAATCACTGCAGTAATCTCTTTACTGGGGTTTACTTGAAAACTGATATGTATATTATCTTCAACATTCTTCTTATGAAATCTAACAGATGTTTAGTGAAGATCAGGTGTAGGCCCTCAGCCAAACAGATTTTTCCTGTCATTGGGCTAAGTTGCTGCCAACTACTTTGGCCCCAAGGTGGCCCACTGTGTTTCTTACGAGGAATACTGAACAAGGTGGAAGAGAGATTCTCCGCATAATTTCATCAGCCATCACATCAAATGTGGAAGAGTATAACCTCATTGTTCATAAACATTTTGTGTATATAAAATTATTGCAATTGTTCATTGTAAGAAACACCAGGAATTGTCTGAAATTGAAGGAGTGCATATATGAAATGGCTGGGTTTTATTCCAGCATCAGCATTACGGAAATTTACATGTTGGTGGACAGAGCCACTAATACACTTGGGCACTAAGATTAGGCTGGCTTTGAGTGTTTCACATCTCTAGAACACCACAAAACAACACAACATGATACATGAAGTAATGCATTTTTTGTTATTTGTCTTATAGCTGTATTCATCAGCATATATGCATTAGTGCAGTGTCAGTGCTAGTAAAAATCCAAGTTTCTCCACAAATAGTAATAGAACCACAGTAAAACAGAGTCTGATTTTAAGAACTCCAGAGTGGTATAACCCCCTCTCCCCCACAAAAAAACCTCCCGAAAACCCAACAAAATACACACTAGAAGTTTATAATTTCAAGTTTGTTTAAACTGTATTCTTTCTGGAATTGTGATGTAATTCTAAACTGAACTACAAAATATTGTTCTCAGTCCTATCTTCTAGAATAATACTGACAGAATTTTTATTTATCAAGAACTACCTGAAATCACATTGCAAGTCCTTCTGAGATATGTTTTTACCTCTTAGTTGCCAGAACCAGGGGTTGTGATTAATTTTCTCCTCTTTCATTAATGAGGAGCCTGTATCAAGTTGCCACTCACTTGTTTCTAAGAGAAACTTCAGAGGAAGTTGCCATGAAACTTTGGACATTCTGTTAGTTTCCTGTAAGACTATTTTATAAGAGTTACTGAACAAAGTTCGTTTGCTTCTTTCTCTTCCTTTGCCCTCTTTTTTTTAAAATACAAGGCACTTTCCTTATTAAGGGGTTTTCTCAACCAGTAGCCACATCTTTACCTTTCAGCTTTAATACAAGCCGTCCTTATTTAATAGCTGCCCTCATTTAGTAGCCAGGCCTTTATCATTTGTCTTTACTGTGAAAACCCCAGGAGAAAGTAAACTTAATAGAAGCTGCCCCAGTTTAAAGCCATAGAGGGATGTAATTAAGTTTAACAGAAATTGATTTAACAGAAATTGACCTAAAATATAATTAAATAATAATAGTCATATTATGTGTGAGTTTGCACTCACTTAACAGACTGCTTATCCTAACTTAAGGCACTGTTTTTGTATGAACTGAAGATAGCTGTCGGCTTTAGCTCCCCAACTGGCTGAAGAGCGGGTGGGTTTTCCTCCTGCATTCCCATTACTTCCCACTGCTGCAGAAACAATAGCTGTGATGGCTGCTGGTGTCCCCAGTAGAGTCCCTGCTAGTTGAGAAGCGATATGACAAATCCCTTGACAGATGGCAAAAGAACGAATTTGAGCCCTGAATGCTGTCTACATAAGGACATACTCAGATTTTTCCTGACATTTGTACAGTTTAGCTTCAGTGTAATGGTGAAATGGGTTCGTTAGTCCCGAATTCTGTTTTTCCTACAAGATTTAGGAAGTCCTAAATTAACCAAGTAGGAAACATATTCTTAAATATTTATTTTACAAAATTTTGCTATGCAGATTTTAGTAATAAATCTTCATCTATAACATCCATTTGTATTTAAATAAATAACAATGCATACGGTATTCTATCTGAATATGGATTAGTTGGGTAGTTGCATATATCATAGAATCATAGAATCGTCAAGGTTGGAAAAGACCCTTAAGATCATCAAGTCCAACCATTAACCTAGCACTGCCAAGTCCATCTATACCATGTCTTCAAGCACTGTATCTATCCGTTCTTTAAATACCTCCAGGGATGGAGACTCAACCACTTCCCTGGGCAGCCTGTTCCAATGCTTGACCACCCTCTCGGTGAAAAAGTTTTTCCTAATGTCTAACCTAAACCTCCCCTGGTGCAGCTTGAGGCCGTTTCCTCTCGTCCTATTACTTGTTACTAGGGAGAACAGGCTGACCCCCACATCGCTACAACCTCCTTTCAGGTAGTTATAGAGAGCAATAAGGTCTCCCCTCAGCCTCCTCTTCTCCAGGCTAAACAACCCCAGTTCCCTCAGCCGCTCCTCATAAGACTTGTGCTCCAGACCCTTCACCAACTTCGTTGCCCTCATCTGGACACGGTCCAGCACCTCGATGTCCTTCTTGTAGGGAGGGGCCCAAAACTGAACACAGTACTCGAGGTGCAGCCTCACCAGTGCCGAGTACAGGGGCACTATCACCTCCCTGGTCCTGCTGGCCACACTATTCTTGATACAGGCCAGGATGCCATTGGCCCTCTTGGCCACCTGAGCACACTGCTGGCTCATGTTCAGGTGGCTGTCAACCAATACCCCCAGGTCCTTTTCCGCCAGGCAGCTCTCCAGCCACTCCTCCCCCAGCCTGTAGCATTGCATGGGGTGGTTGTGACCCAAGTGCAGGACCCGGCACTGAGCCTTGTTGAATCTTATGCAGTTGGCCCTGGCCCATCGGTCCAGCCTGTCCAGGTCCCTTTGTAGGGCCTTCCTACCCTCCAGCAGATTGACACTTCCACCCCACTTGGGTGTCATCTACAAACTTACTGAGGGTGCACTCAATATAAATGCATGCATTAAAATAAATTCCATTACTTCTCAGTGAAGTTAGCGTACTTAATTTTAAGGGAAAGTACCTTGTTTTGAAGCATTCTTAAAGCCGCATTTAACTTCTCTAAGAGC